GTTTGCTTCATCTGACAGCAACTTATCAGGCCATGCATTTCTTGAGAAGGATTCTGCGTGAATACATATCTGATTAGTCCCCATACTACTATGACCAGCCTGGTCTGAAATTAGAGGGCTATGGGAGAACCTACTCAGTCCAATACCATGAAGCCTCCATAGCCCACATCAAGGAAGTTTCTGTTACTGATGTCTGCAGAACAACCAGAAGGTCCTTTTAGCTCACTCACAAAACATTACCCATAGGATTTATCCTCCGGGAGGGCTTTTGATTTTTTAACCTTCCTGCTCCACAACTTGTTTCTAAGGCAGAGGAGTCCAGACTCTTACCCAAAAATGTTTCCATTCAGGATCTTTCTCACTGGGATTGGCCAAGTCTCTGAAGTCTCTTGTCTGACACATCCATACTACCCCAGATATAGATCTTATTGCCACCCTAGATACATAACTAGAGAGATTTTTATAAGAACTGTCTCCATTGGCTTTGACTTTGTAGTTGCTGCCTGTTGAAGCCAAGCTCCCTGTTTTTTTTCTTTTGGGGCATCTTTTGAGTTTCTTCTCCTCCAGCAATGAGAATCCCAGTGAACAGTATCTTCAGAAAAGGAGTAATGACAGCCCTGTAATTCTGCTTCTTTGCTCATATGATTCAGAAAGGACTATCCCTCTACCTCATACCTTTACCAAATCATGTCCATTTCCTCCCTTAATTTTTTTTCCCCTATGAGGCAAGCTTTGGATTGTTTTAGTGACTGACATCCCTTTGGGAACTTTGCCTCCTGCACAATCAGAACTGACCAGTTCATTCAAAAGATGGCCATGAAGCTCAGCAGGGTAGCATATGACAGCCAATAACGGCACTGCTACCGCAGCATATCAGGGCTAAAATAACTTTTCAGACCTTGGGGAGCAATGCCAGTCTGACACTGAGGAGTTGAGATCCTGCCATGAGAATCATATCTTCAGAGAAGCAGAATTGCAGGTAAGTAATTTTTATTTTCCATACTACCCTCTTGCAGTGCTGGATATTTTCGCATTTGCTGTTTGTGATTTGGCTGTACAGGTGAAATTCCTAGAGGAGCACATGCTTCTCTTATACAGTAGCTTTAGTCTATTGTATGCTGGTATTTAAGGACTGCATAGATATAATGTCCTCTTTTCCTCGGTTTTTTTCATTTAATTGTCAAAGTATGGAGGGCTCTTTATACTCATACGGTCTTTTGGGCTTGGAGTGAGGACCATCTTGGAGGTTTCCTTTGTGGCAGTGGTGTTTATGGACCTTGCAAAGCTAATAGACTTAGAGGCTGAATTGCCTTATGGATCTGCAAGGCAAGTAGGACATGGTTAGAGGCAGGTTAAGCATACACAAACACTACCTTCTTTTTGTCTTGGCAAAATGTCCCAGCCCTTCCCTGGGGTGACTACCTCAAAGGGCAAGAAGGTGGATTGTGCTGGAGGTCTAGTCAGGTCTCTGCTGAACCTGCTGTCAAAAGTGCTGATTCAAGCCTGTAGTAATGCTGAATCTTGCAGTGTTCCCTGGGCAGATGGCAACAAATTCCAGCTGCCAGTGACCTGAGCTAGACTTGAACCCATACTCTAGAGGTGACAGGTTCTGGTGCTGGTGACCTAGCCTTTAATTCTTCTCACCCCTGTCTTAGGCCTATACAGTATTTCTTTGTGCACTGGTAGTCATTAGTGTTATATTCTGCTGCTATGGCAATATCTTGCTATCTCTTTTTTCCCCTGGAAGATCTAAAGGAGCCTGTTTCTGCTGTGGTTGTGCATAGAGTATCACCCTTTAGATGTGGAGTTACCCCCTCCTTCTCTGGCTTGCTTTCTTTCTTGCTAATCTATCCAAACTCTTTCCTGCTAAAGTTGCACATTCAGAGGATCACATGGGACCATCCTACCATGCAAGAGTCACCATATCACTGTGCAAGCATGATTTTCCATGGCACATTGTCATGCACACATTGGTACATGGCCTGACAAGCATCACATCATGAGGATGCTGTGTCAGCCCCAGAACAAATGCAAGACACCAATAATGTCCTGCCAGATCAAAAGAAGAACCAGTGGCTGCCCCATGCAACTCGGTGTGGGTGTCATCCTTCTGAGCTGCTCCCATATTACATGTATTCACACTGTATTCACTGTTGTCTCTGAAAAGAGTTGCCCCAAAGTAATGGAGCTCCTACTTGTGCACTCCTTGAGGTCAGCACGCACCCTGATGGTCAAAACACAGGACTGCAATAAGATGCGAGTTCTGGTCCTGTCTCCGCCACTTTCTCACCGCATGATCTTGGGTGTGCCATATCCCCTCTTTGGATGCTATTTGCCAGAGCTGCAGATACTAGAGGTAGGATGCCTAAACAGCATTTGTTAGTGCCTGTGCAGTGCTTTGGGATCTTTATCTGGAAGATTGTGCCAAAGTAATTACTGGCAGCTATGCTGCGCTGTGATTCTCATCGCATTGCAGTCACT